CAGTGGTGTTGGATAAAAGGTGTAAGTGGAGCCCCCTCATCATCTTGGTCTCCACCAGGCATTGGACAGCAGCACTAATAACCCTGCATTATATGGGAGGACTTCAAGGGACCACAACACAGAGCATCATAGAGTAGAGTGCCATAGCCTGCCAGAGTGATAGGTAAGGTTAATGATGCAACCATAGACTTAAAGAGTAATATTACCCACCAATTTAAAGACTCCCAAAACAGTTACTTTTAAGGCATGCCAACTGTCAAGGTTGGTAGTGTCCTTTTTTTAGCTCTCACCCGAGCTTTCAAGCCCCTAATTGGCTGGTGCCATTTGGCCTCCCTACAAGGGTATTTTTTTCGGGTGTTGGAGGTGGATTTAAAGCTATAAAAGTTGCCTGTAGTTTGTCAAGAAAATATATTTTTTTAAATTGTTACACCATATGACAAAAGATTTGGATTCTGTTTTTTCTCCATATTACAGATCATGTGATACAGGCAATGGTATTTTCATCTCATCATGGTGTCTGAAGCACATCTGATTTAAAGGTGGGCTACAGATGTGAAGGGGGTTCCTCATGTACAATGTGGGGGGGGGCTCTGATGTAAAGAGAGGGGCTTCAGATGTGCAGGGGAGGCTCTGATGTGAAACATATGAATCAATATAGAATTTATTGATATGTTAGCATGTCACTATCAAGCTACAGCATTGCTTTTTGCCCAGCACACCAAACATGCATTACTATTAAACTACTGCCTCCACTCCACTCACCATACCCCAATCTCACGATCACTGACTTTGAAAAATTACCAAGTTTATTGACAGGGGATGAGCAGAGGAATTTTGGCAAAATTGATTGTATAGTGAAAATACCAATTTCACCATCAGCGAAACATGTATACTTACGTCACCTGGCTTTTTTGGCAATTTGCTGTTTGCATTCCACCATCAGCCTCCACAGACTCCCAATTAATAGCACAGTTCCAGCTCATTGATAGTCTAGTTCTCAGCCAGCAGTTGTACCCCGGGGAATACTTCTGCTAGGATTGAGGTGTACTTTTATCAAGTTCTTATCAAGTAATAGCTCTTGAAAAATAGATCTTTTAAAAGCAAATTGATTATTTGGAAAACCTTTACATGCATATACACTCAATAGGGTGTACGACTGTACCCGTAATATAATTAATGGATCGATGTCAAGGGACACAATGTTACAATTCAGTCTACTACAATCTGCAGTGTTAGTGTTGGAGACTTACATAGAAAACACCAAAAAAAGCTGATCTTTAACAGATGATCATTCAGTAAAAGGTGAAAATGATTTATATATGCTTTAGTAAGCTCTACAGTACAGCATTGTGATATTGCTTCTAGAGTGACAGGATCACTTTAAATGAAACATATTAATCATATTAAAACTGCATGTGAAAGTATGATTACAAGGCAGAGTTGCTTTTATATATTTCTGTCATTTCTAGACTCACCCATTTGAGTTGACTGATCTTCACGCGCTGTGAATTGCTGTACTGCTCCTCTTCTCCTCTGTCTTTCTATGTAGAACACCAATTGTGCCATGCCAGAAGTACAAAGTTCATATTTTTTTCAAGATCTATTCTAATGGAATGATTTAACTCCTCAACAGCTGATAATGCACAGTTCCCAAACATATTGTATGTTTACCTACATATTGTTTTCTCGGCTTAATGCTAAAAGTGTAATTACGATGTAATGTGTAGCCCTTTAACATCTGAAATTTGAAATTCTTTATAAGTTTGCTTTAAGTTTCCTACCTAGCTATTTGGCTGGCTTGCTTACAATGGATTGTCCAAACCTTTATGTTAGTGTTTTTTAAGGAATTACAGAAAAACTGTGTCTTTCTCCATCCTGTTACAGTGACCATAGTCATAGTTACATAATATTTGAGGTTGAATAAAGACACAGGTCCATTGAGTTCAACCTTTATGTGTAAGTGTGTGTGTAGTGTGTGCATGTGTGTATATGAGTCCCTTTGTGGTCTTAGGTGTTAAGAGTACCGGTACCCCTGTATGTTACGTTCTCTGAGGAAGGTATCTGCTCATGGCAGTAACCATCTTCCCATGTCTTTTTTTACAATAGGTTACCCATTAGACCTAAACATGGCCAGAACTTACTAACAAGTTCAATGGGGTTTGATGCTAAGTTTGGGCTCCATGGACTTCAAGCTGGATTTGCTGTTCTGGCTGAGATTTGCTTATCCCTAATCCTGGGTTAAATTTTCATCAAGGATGTTATCTATATGGAGTTTGTATGTTATTAACTTGTTTGTGTGGGTTTCCTCGGGTCTGTGTTGCAAACGCTGTGTGCAACCGCACATGATCACGCTGTCCTGGAATGCGCGTCCCGGGATGACCCAAGTGTGCGCCTGGCCTCTGATTTGGTGATGTAACTTCTGTGTTGCTTACTGTTTGCTGGAGAGTAAGTGGTACTTGGGGTATTTCTGCTTTATTTATTCTTAGGATCTGCTGCTCCTGCTGCTTCTTGATCATAACGCCACTTGTCATCAGATCAGGTGTGTGTATGGGTGGATGGGAGTTCAGACATGAGGAAACAAAGCCCTATCTCTACCCTCTACCAAGATGGTCACCTCCACAATAATTAGAATGAAAAAAGGAGGAGCCACCTAATGAAGAAGAGCCTAAATGATTTTTGTTATTTGTAAGAATAAAAGCATCAAAGTGCCAATAAATTTGGGGGGCAAACACAGACCCTCTTTATCAGGGTTTCAGGTGTAATTCAAAAGGGGAATCCTCTGGGAATTGAAGGTAAAGTTACAATGATAGTGACCACAAATATAAGTGCACAGGTAGCAGTTGGGAGAATGCTTGTGTTGGCACTTTGATGCTTTCATTCTTACCAATAAAAACTCCTTGGGTCTCCTATTTGGTTGGTGGCACTTCTGTTTTTTGTTCGAATCGACTTCTCCGGTGCCCCCTCCTGCCCTCTGTGAGATCCCTTGTAGGTGGAAGTGCAACCACAATCAAGCAATTGAGCCCCACAGAAACCCATATCACAACCATGGGAGAGTTACAATCAAAGATCACACCGACACTCACTCTTTCTCGCATTTGTATTTGCACAAAGAGACACAGTACATGACAATGATTGTCTCAGTGGATGAGACAATCATTGCCTGTCTGTCTGTTTGTGTGTGTATACATGTTGTTATGAACATCTATACCCCTGTATTTTTGTAAACTTTTGGTTTTCTCCCTGTTTTTCTCTTCCTGTAACATAGTTGTTTTTTTTTATTAACTGTTGATCCTGCCAGTAGAGCCATTATTTTCCCACTTTCTGTACCAGAGTGAAAACCCTGTACATTCTGAAGGGGATCACACAGTAGTGTTGCCACCCTGATGATGAACAAATGTAAAATTACATACATGATACAGCAGTGGTTCTCAACCTGTGTAACCTCAGGACCCGCATTTGTCCTTGGTCATTAAGTTGCGACCCTAGTCGCACCACACTGAAACACATGGCATTGCAGTACCGTGAGTTCCGGTGGGGACGATTGAACTCTGTGTGGGAGGTGAGGTTGGGGTGCCATTCAAATGAATGTCAACACAACGCACCTCCCACACCAAAATGTGTGGTAGGTCCAATTGCGGGGTACAGTGCGTTAAAGGAGGACTATGGGGTCAGGGCTTTTCCCCATAGTTCTCCTTAGGGTAACGGGAGGACACAAACTAGCGTCACCCTAGGCTCAGTATACCGCGAGCTACAGCTCGCTGATGTGACAGTCTCATTGTCACAGGTCGGCTAGAACTATGAGGTGAGTGAAAAGCACTCACCTCATAGTTCTCCTTTAATTGCAATAACACACTGTACTAGTGTGAACAGGCCCTCAAAAACACTGAGACACACACAACCACAGACACATTCTAACACACATACACACTCCTATAAATTATTATTTATTTATTTTTTTAAAGATCCACTACCTTAGGAGAATTGGAGTGGATCCTCAGCCTGGGGGCCAGTGTGGGCTCCTGTGCTGTGATGGAACTCCATCCATATGTGTATCGTATGTACAGCTCCCCTGTGTGCCCTGTAGAGGTACCAGAAGCAAGAATGTGACGTCACTCTGGTCCAGGCACCTGTTCAGGGCATGCATCGGAGCTGTAAGCAATGCAGGTATAGATGGAGCTCCCTTGTGGCCATACCCCAAGACTGCACCACCTCAAGCTGCCACTCGGTGCCGGGCAGCATATTTTGAATGGCTGCTCGGTGCAAGGACTGACAGTGCTGGGCTACGGGGAGTCTGAGGTGCCTCTCTCCTAGCACAGTGGAAGGCACGCAACGACCCACTGAACAGTTGAGTAACACGTTAATACAGAATGCCACTAGCATTAACACAGCAGTGAACGTCCCAACCTTTCCAGCAAAAGTGGCAGTTAAAGGGCTGAGACAACCCATATAACACTGTCAGGGTTGCTTCTAATGGTCAGCTTTTATTTATATAATTACAACTATTTTCCAAAAGAGAAACAAATTGTTTCTGTAACTGCCTAAAATGTGTTTGCCTGAGCTAGGTCTTAATTTGTTAGTCACTTTTGAGTCCATCAAAATGCACTGGTCCAGCTAATACTACCCTCTCCACATGTTGATCATGCTTCTGTCCTAGAGTGTCTATGCTGCTCCTCCATAGAAACAGCGGAGGAGTGATTGCAGCGACCCTCAGGCAGGAAATATGCTAGTGGATGGGTCACCAGGTGAAAAGAAAAGAAAAAAAATCCTAAAAAACAAAAACTAATGCAGCAACCTCACTTAAAGATTGGTAAGCTGCAATATATTGATATGATACACTTTAATAATAACCAAAACAGCTATTTTTTTTCTAAAGATACACATTGAATACACATTCTGGCATCAAACAGCTTTAAATTGTTATGAGCAAATAATCAGAGTATATATTTTTATTATAGACATCGACTGAAACAATATACAGTATAAGAGGGTCTATAATGTAGTTAATCATGGTAAATGCAGTAATCTGCTGGCCGGATTAATACAGTTGATCCCTTGCAGTTCCCGTTACAAAGCCCATGCCAGTGTATTCCATTCTTGTTGTTCAGCTTGGAGGCAAAACATGCTCCATACCACCATGCACCACCATAACTGGAAGCACAATTAGCACCAGCATGAGTGTCCTGGTCTTTGTCCTTAACTGTGAACTTCATGTTATCATGTGTGAGTCCTGCAGTTACTGAAGACATGGCATCTCCGGCAGTGCCCGTGTAGCTGCCCAACCTCAGCTTGTAACCATTAGCCTCATCTTCCACACTGAACAGGTTGTAATCAGCATATTTTTCTTCATTGTTATTGTCAAGAATGACAAAACGGACCTGGTAGACCCTCTGCTTAGTGATCTGGTGAATATACTCAATGCCCAGCCAGTAATCCTTCTCAACGTTGCCAAAGCCATATTTGTAAGTAGTCCAGGACTCATCCCATGCAATCTCTGAGTTAAAGGAATTCCGCTGGATGACAATCCAGCCTCCACTATAGGTTGTCATGTCACAATACACAACCAATGGGTGAGGACAATCTTTGGGTTGGATAGCATACACTCCACTTTCTTTGTTTCTTGGGATGTCACTGCAGTCTTTTGGTAACTCTATAAAGGAAGTTTCTTAGATGTAGAAATCAGTAATAAATGGAAAGAAGCCTAATGGCATGTCAATGCAAAGGATATGTACATTTTTCATTAAAATAAGCTCAGCATAAATAACAAAGAAATGGAAACTAAGTGTGGGAACTTTGGTCAATTGAAAGTGGTTAGGCTTCTGCTGGAGTTGCAGAAACTGGTTGTAAGATGCTGTCTGTTTTCGAGTGCACAATCAGTTTAACTTAAATGTTATAATTTGCCCTAGAAATATGAAATAAAAAGATGATTGGTTGCAAGTAGTCATGCAAACTGTTGATTTCCCATCACTTCCTGTTTCTCTAACACACCCTCACACAGACAGGAAGAGAGGGGAAATGCACATACACAATAACCAGATGTGTATGATAAAGGTTTATAAAGTGACACTAAACTCAGGAGTTAAATCTTAAAAATGCTTTCAAGTGCTTTAACTATTAACAAAAATGTATCTTATTTGTGTATCACTCGGCTGTAGATCCTCAAATCATCTCTGATTTCCTGCTGACACTTTCCATCCTACTTTTGTTGTCCCTGTGTGTGTTTTAAAGTAGCCACCACTCCAAGCTCGCTCCCCTGATGGACTACAATCTCATGTTAAGTTGGCTGATTTGTATTGAAGTTATAGTCTATCATGGGAGCGGTGACTACTTTACAAGACACAGGGACCATGGGGACAAAAGTAGCCACCCTCCAGAAGGAAGGACAGTGTCAGCACCAATTCAGAGATGATTTGAGGATCTACAGCCGAGTGATACACAAATAAGATACATTTTTGTTAATAGTTAAGGTACTTGAATACATTTTTAAGATTTAACTCCTGAGTATAGCTCCCTACGCTATCCAAAACAGAATAACACACTTTTGGCTGGAGTTATAATCTATGTCTGTGCAAAATACAGCAAAAAATACCCAGTACTGGCAGTTCATTACAGGAGGTTAGAAGCTCACTTTATTTCTGACAGGATCAACTCATTTGTTTGTTAACAGAGTTTTGAAAGCAGCAAAACATGGAGTAATGTGAATGCATTTCACAGATGTATATTTATTCCTTAAAAAAAGCCCTTGCAGTGGGGCTCCCCTAACACTGCAAAAGTGAAATACTTGTTTATGCCTAGGGTACCAGTTAATATGACTTTTACTTAACTAATCCCTTGCTCCTGCATGCTCCCTTTATGTTAATGAGACCCCCGTAGCCTCTTCTCCTCAGCACTCCATTGGTCACAGGCACTCTGGCTTCATAAAGTACATATACAAAAGGATACTGAGGGACAGCCCACAATCCAAAGCATCAGAGAGAATAGTTGAGTGCCAGCTGCTGTGGGGGCTAGATATTAGTCCTGGGTACCCTGGGCATAACCAAACATTTAACCCTTGCAGTGGGGGGGGACCCCACTGCAAGGGTTTTTTTTGTTTTGTTTTCTATGGAGTTCAGCTCTGAAGTGATCCTTACATTGTGCACAAAGCACCCAAAGGTTAAATCCCTCCCAAGCAAAACAAAAAAAGAAAGGTTTTGGCTGGAGTTAGGCTTTTAAATACCCTGTACTAATTAGTATTTAATTAAAGTAACCCAAATTCTATGTGCCAGATTAATCTTTTCCCACAGAAACTACAGGGAGGTGCACTGCTGAACTTTTCAAAATGAATGTGCAGTTTGAAAAGTTCTGCTGTGCACTGCAGAGTGCAGACCAATGTGCATGTTTCTGCCCATTGGTATAGATTCAAAGGATCTGGTACAAGCACACATGGCAGAAGGCGTATAGTATGGACTCTCTTATTCATAGGAAGACAAGGTAGAGAAGATTATTGGTCTCTTAAACATTGTCTATCTTTACCACACTATAGCCAAACCTTTGCCATGAATGTCAGCATTGCCTGAGAAGATATTAGAATCAAACAAATAATTTATTAATCTACTCAAACCCAATTAGGAAATGTACAAGCTCTCTCCATAATTGCCCAAATCTTATCCATTTATGATTCAAGCTGTCAATTCTTTACAGGGGATTTTACAAAAATAGACGCATTGTTTGACTTTTTGTCGAAAAATAATGCACTCTACCATACTTTTGTTTTCGTGGTTTTCCCCATCTCTTGGTTTTCTCTGAGCATGGCGTGTTGAAGCTGTGCTCACCAAAGCCAGAATCAGAAGGTAATTTAAGATCTCTAAAAGGATATAAAACAGATTGCATTATTAACCAGGCAAGATGTCCTCAACATCACAACTCAGAAAAGAAAATCATTGCATTCCATTCTCATGGGGCGTGTTCTTCCATACAGCATGGAGGGTCGGTGGTTGATGCGTCCCGGCAGAGCTGTAGCTAGCTCCTTTTGCGCCCGAGGCAAGAACAGAAAATTGTGCCCCCCAACAGACGTGTGATGTCACCCGACACCGCGCAAGCGCAGTATCATGTGGCGTCATGCACCACGCCTCCAGGATGATTGTACGTGGAATGTGCTGGTGGCTAAATCTAAAATAACATAAAAATGTGTTTCGTTTGACGAACCTATTAAAAACATTTTTCGTTTCCGTTCATTTCGTCCAAAACAAATTTTTTGTCTTAGCACATGTATAATAATATATGTGCATTAGTGTGTGTGTGTGTGTACAGTGCTGTCACTTCAGGATGGCCGAGAGGTGAGGAGAGAAAGAGCCGCTGGCTGTCAGATCCTGGCCGAGCGGCTCTTTACTCACAACTCGGCCATCCTGGATGACAGCCGCCCGCTGGCTACAGTGCTCTATTTCTCATTTCGATGCCTCTGCCCATACAGGTGGGGGAGAGCAGCGGGGATCCGAGGAGAAGATGGATCCTGTGCCGCCCCTCTTCTCCCTGCCGAGCCGCGTTTGTGTTGGCCACCTGGCACCCCTGTTGCCATGGCGCCCTGTGCTGCGCCCCCTCTCAGCTGCATTTGGGGCGAGTGCCTCGCTCGCCTCATGGTAGCTATGGCCCTGCACCCTGGAGCTGCGGGAAGAAGTCTGTGAGGATGCATAGTTCTTGTGTCTCCATTGAGTTGCATGAGCTGCCCGCACACTTCTTCCCGCAGCTCTGGGTGCATTAACAACCATCCCTCCACGCTGTAGGTAGCAACACGCTCCATGTGAATGAGGCCTTAATGTGTACAGGATTGGAGGTGCCCTTCCTGTTGGTCATTTTTTACTGCAGTTAACGGAGATCTATAGTTTAATACTGTTTTATTAGACATATATGTGTGTAATCAGATTTTTGTAATATAAATATGTTTAAATAATTTGAAAAATGTTTCTCAATAGAGTTCATGAATACATATGTACACGGGACAGCTATAAATCTGTTTGTGCATGCAATATGTACATATATATAAATATATGCTGTGCTTCCTAGTTGATTTGCTAAACGGGTATTTTTGTCCACTTAGAAAAGTCAATGTCAGTAAATAAGGGGAACCTGATTGGATATTCAAAGCGCACACAGGTTTGTCCTATTAACTAATATTTACTTTGCAAATTGAACATACATACTTTGTTAACCAGACAATTCACTAAATCAACCTTTATGCTGTATGTTCCTTACTGTTCCTTTTATTTTGCAATCACTGATTGAAAACCACTCTTAAGGTGGCCATATACCTGCCGATTATCGTACGATAATAGCGGTAAATCCCGCGATCGTACGATAATCGGCAGGTGTATGGAAGGCGTGCGACCGTTTCTACTGTACGGTCGCACGTCTTTTGTCTTACGAGCATGTTGGAAAACCAGCCGAAAATCTTACGCACACTGCCCGCTCAGCATTGCAGTCATCGGAAGCCCTCCCCTCAGCGGGGCGGGCTTGCCATGATCGCAAGTACGATCTGCCTGTCCAGGATGGGCAGATCGTATAAGCTTTTAATTACCTTTACAACCATCGCACGACTCAAGTTGTGCGATGGCTGTAAAGTGTATGGCCAGTTTTAAGCTGACCATACAATTCCCGAATGTTTGTTGTCAGAATACATATCCCGGCAGGGCAGATTCGTCCATCAACAATGTTTACTATGGATGGAGGAATCTGTTAGATTTCTTTTGTTCTTTTGCAAACAATTTTAAACAAAAGAAGTCAATGCATGAATGACCAGCTTTAATCTCTCTCTCTTTCTCTCACTCTGCGATTATTCATGTAATCTCAATAGTCAGCCAATCACATTAAAGATATCTTAGAAATGCTGATACAATAATGACTTTACAATACATTATCACTATAAACATTTCACTTCTACATAGTGCTTGTCAATCTACATAATGCTTTCTATATTGACATAGGCATTATCTATAATATACAGAGCATTTATTTGGTTAAAATACAGAGAAAGAAATAGAATTGTGTACTTACTCCTGATATAAGAACCTTATCATCGCAGAACAAAAGTAAAATTCACATAAATGACTAATGTAGGCAACCTGCGCTCTCAGTAAATCTCACAGACTTACCCATCTTGCTTTTCTCGTACTCTGAACTGTCTTGCGTTTCTTGTCCTGTTTACTGATTTGTCTTGCTTTTCTTGTACTCAGACTTTACAATAAATAACATTGTAATATAGTTCTGGCATTCTGCAGATGGCTTATCAGTGAGAACAAAGTAAGACGTGCAAAGTCTTTTTTTATGTTTTAAAGCATATTGCAAAATATATCTATTATCTCCCTCTAGTTTATCAGCAGATAAACACACAACATGGAATAGGAAACCTTGAATAACTCTCTTGGAGGTTAGGAAGGACAATCAAGGTTAAACAAGCTGTTTTTCCTGCAGACCATCAATGCACCAAGTCACTCTATCTGAATGGTTTGTTGCTGCAAGTGTCCCTAGAATTCTACTTCTTTGCTGCTACTATCTCCCAATGTTCACTATTGTTTAGGCTCACCCGATCCGATGCCCAATGCAAGTCTATGGGCAGCCGTGTGAGCGTCCGTTTACACCCAGTGACACCCGGGTCACCCGGCCCCAGCTGAATCACAGCAATTGTGTACAGAAAGCCTGCAGGTTGCCATATTGCATTATGACAGTTTTAGAAAATTACAGCAGCTGTAGTTTTAAATGGAAAGGCAATTTTAATAACATTGAATTACAAAATTGATTGTGTAGCAATTATATATGCTATATTCATTTTTTTATGATTCTTTCATTTTAATTTTTTGGAAGTTGAGTTTCTCTTTAACTTGGGCTATGCCTAGGGTAAATAGTGAAATTATAAGGAGAAAACATTACCTTGTTAATACTTCTACAGTACCGCAGAAGCTGTTTACCGGTTTGCCCCTCTGTTTTTTTTTTATACTTCTGACTGCTATCACTAAGATCAGGAAGAAAAACAGGAGATAGGGGGCTGAGTCACTGCTCTAAAGCATTTAGTTATGTGCCTACATTTCAGTTTGAGCTACTGAGCTCTGTAAACACATGTCTGTGAAGGTTCTCATTAATCCTGGTCATGGTATATCTTTAAAGAATAAGTCAAGGCAACTGGACTTGCTGTATTTTTTTGAAGATGTTTCACTTGTCATCAGACCAGCTTTCTCAATTCAGAATGATAATTCTGAACTGAGAAAGCTGGTCAAATGACCAATGAAACGTCTTTAAAAAAAAATACAGCAAGTCCATTTGCCTTGACTTATTTATTACAGATATACAGTATCTGTAAACACAGTTTTCAATTATCAAAGCAAATATGGATAGACAGCAAAACATGTGCTGAGCAGTAAAGTACATGAAATATAGATTGAAATCTTTGATACCAGGAGGTTTAGGTGAAAAATGATTGCCTCACAATATTGGATATATGCTTTTTTGAGTAGTTTATTTAGGTTCATGAAGAGAATGTTAGGCAAGAAAGGAACTTTGATTTTGTATTATGCACAATCCTACTGATAAGATATGCAACTACGTCATTTATAACTTGCTTCGCCAGAATTTTGCTATCTCCTTTACTACCCTTTATTATCTTAAGACATAAGTTTTGTTTTTGTAAAATATAACTTGTGTTTTGCAGGTGATACTGTCATAGTTGCATTTGATTGGTACCATAAACATAATGTTATTACAAAATTAGTGCCAACTGATTGTTAAGATGAAACAACCAGTTTTATCAGGAAATGCAGAAATGCTGCAAAAGATTAAAAGAGAACTAAAGGCAAACCTTTTTGTTGGCTTTAGTTCACTTTTGGGTAACAGAAGTAGATTTGCTAATGTACTCCTGTGACCCAAACTCAGCATATACTCCCTGCCATATGCTGACTGAACAGCCGTGCTGCATCCCAACAATATTGTTGAGATCTACGCCGCTGCCTGATTGACTCTGGAGGAACAAAGAGGGGAGGGGGGAATTGCTGCGGGGAGCAACGTCTGAGAGTCACCAGTCTCTGCAGGGAGAAGACCTCTTGATATAGAGCTGGGGTGTGACAGCTGCAGTGTCCCACTCAGCTAAGTATTGGAAAGAGTATATTTTTTCCTGTCCCAATATGTCTCCTTTAGGCCTGCAGACACACTCACTACCAGTCCAAACACAATATGTGGCACCTCATAATGTGTCATCAATAACTGAGCTGTCTAATGACTCGTGTAGACAGGCAAATGGAGTGTGTTACAAGAGCATTCAGCTTTTGTTTCATGTGTTTCTTCTGAGCTGCTTTGGATTTTCTTCTGAGGTGCTTCTTTTCCATTCCTATTAAAGAGAAAAGCAATTTTGACACAGACAAATGTTGTATATAAAGCAAACAAGTGTTCCTTGCAGCCTTGTCCTGTCTTTATGCATGCACTCCACCAATGGCTACATGGCATGCCTCAAGGAGGGCTTCCTGATGGCATCAACAGTGGACCAAGATTGCATAATGTATGGTGAAATACCTGTTAGTAGTCTCCATTGTAAACATGCATGTAGGAGTACAACTGAGATACACGGACAGAACATTGTTATCACATAACACTAACGCTGGCCATACGCCAATAGAATTGCATTAAGAAAAAAAAGTTTTTGGAATGCTTGTTCCATTTCCTAATAGTTAAAGGGGTCAAACTGATGGCTGATTTGGGCTATATTGATCAAAAAAATAGAAGAAGCAGGATTGAAATTTTTCTCAGATGAGCAAAATTCTAACAGTAAATGTGGTTTTCATCCAAGAAACGCCGTTCATTCCAAAATTAAAAGGGTTATTCACAAAGCTAGCCAAAGGATCAGCCTCCGGCTCTGCTGTGTGAATAACCCTATACAATTAAAAATTAAAGGAAATTTTAAATGACATTAATGAAGTCTCTGATGGCATTATCAAATGTTCTTATGAGATTTTTTGTATAAAGGTTTACATGAAAATCTAAAGGGCCTAAACAAGGACCTCCATGGCAGCATCACTATGGAATATGTGCATGAAACCTGCAGATTTAAACATTTTACATTATTATGTTAGGGCTTATATGAGACCTGAACTGAAAAAGTATTGTGGGTTAGTAGGAACCAGAAATTCTTACAACTAAACTCAAAAGAGACCTTATCTGAACTTTCTAACTATAAAAAATGCTCTACTGCTCTAACACCTTTCCTAGATTTGACAAGAGTATATGAATTTAATATGTCCATTGTGGCTAGAGAAAGTTAAAGCCACAAGTGTATTTATCAAGTGTCTCTGAAATATATATAATACAAGAGATTATTAGAAAAGTTGTTTCTAAAATATGTATATGATGGATCATTTACTGACTGTGCATTTGAGACACTCAGGCAATATGGAACGTCAACCAAATATTTCTGGATATTGGGAACCAACCAAAATTATGTGGAGATTACTGGAAGTTTATCCCTCCAGTTTGGGATTCACAGTGAAATATAATCGTTGGATCTTATTTCAGGCTTAAAGGGAAAATTTACAGGGCTATTCACTAAAAGGTGAAGAGTTTGGAGAAGGCAGGAGAAGTGAACAATCTAGGACAACATAGCTGAACTGGAAAGTGAGCTGAATTGGAGAATTTCTCCAAATCAGCTAGATTGCTCACTTCTCCTGCCTTCTCCAAACTCTACACCCTTTTGTGAATAACCCTGAAAGTGTTTTTTGGTCAATTGTGTGTGTGTATATAAATATATACAGACAAAGGGTGGCACTT